GGCCGAGGCGGGCGGCGGCGGCGCCGGCGGCGGCGCGGGTGGAGCGCTCGGGGGCCACGGGCGGCGGCGGCGGCGGCGTAGCGGAGGAAGGCGGCGGCTCCCCCCCGGCCAGCGCGCAGACCGGTCCGTCCCGCGAGCTCGCGGCGGCCCCGCGTCCCGGCGCGCCCCCGGCCCCGGGACCCTCCGCCGCCTCCGCCGCCGCCATGGCCCGGCCACTGGTGCCCAGCTCGCAGAAGGCGCTGCTGCTGGAGCTCAAGGGGCTGCAGGAGGAGCCGGTGGAGGGCTTCCGGGTGACGCTGGTGGACGAGGGCGACCTGTACAACTGGGAGGTGGCCATCTTCGGGCCTCCCAACACCTACTACGAGGGCGGCTACTTCAAGGTGAGCGGCGGCCGGCTCGGCGCCCCGCCCTGCCTTATGTAACCGGGTCTCGGCGGCGCGCCCCCCGTGCTGCGCCCGCAGGCCCGGCCGGGCCCAGGCGAGCTGCGAAGCCGGGGCTGCTGCACGCCGCCAGCCTCGCAGGTCCCGCCGAGCGGGCGGCTTCTGCGCTCTCGGGCTGCTCTCCGGGCATTTTTTTTTGCCCTCTGGTGGTTTAAGGATGAGCGGGTGCTTTTGCTGCTGGGAGCAGGGAGCCGAGGGCTGTCCCCCAGACTGTCAGATTCTGCCTTATGTGACAAGAACATGGGCCACAGTCAGGGCGGTTTTCTCCACCGAACCGATCTGAGCCCAGTCATAGCTTTGGATTCCTCTAAGGGTCACAGGACCTTGTTCTGGAGCCAGCGGAGCAAGACTGGGGTCTCCCTACCTAAGGTGGGAGCAGAAACCGGGAGTGGTGGTGCACGGTTGTCTTCCCAGCTCCTCAGGATGGAGCCTGAGGCAGGAGAAGGGCAAGGGGAAGATCAGCCCGGGCAGCTTAGCAAGAGCGGGGACGTAGGTCAGTGGTAAAATGCTTGCTCTGGTATTCTCAGGGCCCCAGGATCCGTCCCCACTGTCACATACAAACAGAGAGAAACCAAAGCCCAGGTCCCAGTTGCCGGGTGAGGCCAAGACAGGTCTGTTTCCAGTGAGTGAGGGCACCTGCCTTGTCTACTTGGGGGCAGTTGCTGAGTTGGGGTCCCAGGTCTTAGGGCAGGGGTGGGTAGGGGAACAGGTTTGAGTGTTCCTGCATCCCCACCCATGGAGCAGTCCAGTTTGAAAAGTCTCCAAGAGCACTTCATAGTTATGGCAGCACCCAGAATGGGGTAACTCCCCCGCCCTGAGGCCAGGCCAGGCTTCTAGGCAAGGCTGCAGTCAGGAAGCAAAGGTTTTGGGTCTCTGGCCCTACCCACCAAATGGCTGCAGGGCCTGGTGGGCAGAGCCTCCAGGGTTGGCTTTAGGGGGATCGTCCCATTTCTAGAGAAAGAGGTGTCAGGCTAGGATCATGTTTGCCACAGGTCTGTCCTCAGAAGCCAGTGTGGGACTAAGGTTGGCGCCCCTGTCTTGGGCATGGTTGGCTGCGGTGTGGGCAAAGACTTGTCAAGGGGATGTGGAAGTCGTAGGGGGCCACCATTGCTTCCCAGTGGCTTCCTGTGGGGCGTTCCTCTCAGCGTGCTGCAGGCAAAGCTCTAGCACCAGGAGGGGGGGCTCCTCCCTTAGGCAGGGTCTCTCCTTCTGTGACCCTTGATGTGTGAAATGGTAAAAGGGATCTCTAGAGATGCTGAGAGTAACAGGTGCAGGGGATGAGTTGGGTGAGGCTCAAAATCCAGGCGTAGAAACCTGGCAGGAGTCTAGGGGTGCCTTGAAGTCTTGAGCAACTGTTGGGCAGGTGTCAGACCCAGGTTCCAAGGTCACTCTGGCCTCAGCATGTTTTCCCTGGACATGGAGGCGTCCCTCTCCATAAGATTTCTAGGGGCCTAGTGTCCACCTCTTGGAGCTCACAGCACCCCCAAGATGCTGGCCCCCCCCAAACAAACATCAACGATTCCTTTCTTACCTGCTGAGAACCAGAGGCAGGAGCAGCATCAGGGCTCTGGCCACAGGTGAGCAGCTCTGGCACTGGTGCCGGTGGCTCAGACCCTTGGCCTGAGTAGCCCTCAGAGAGGCAGTGACGAGGAATAAGTCTCCCAGAGGACAGACGAGCCATGCTGGGCTGGGGCCGCGAGTCTCCGGGTACCTGGCGCCCTGCCAGCCTCTGGCGTTCCCACGTTCTCACCTGCACGTCGTGGGGCTGGATCCACCCAGGCAACCTCAGAAAGGCTTGAGGCAGCCTATCGTGGACAATGGCCTTTGGCTTGACCCTAGGCCCACAAGAGACTGGACAGTGAGCCCTGTTCCTCCTTGGCCTAGATAGTCACTTGTCCATCATGGGACACACTCCCCAGACACCCAGAGAGTGTCCTCTGAAATGGAACTCTGCCAGGGCCTAGCCCGCACTGAGCCACCCCTGCTGTTCCCACCCCACAGGCTCGCCTCAAGTTCCCCATCGACTACCCTTACTCTCCACCAGCCTTTCGGTTCCTGACCAAGATGTGGCACCCAAACATCTATGAGGTGAGCGCACACAAGCCTCGCACAGGCCTCTGCCTCCCCGTGGTCACGCCTCCGGTGGAGCAGGCAGTGGGAGCCTGGCCAGGGCTAACCCGCTATCTCCCTCACTCAGACAGGGGACGTATGCATCTCCATTCTCCACCCACCTGTTGATGACCCACAGAGTGGGGAGCTGCCCTCGGAGCGGTGGAACCCCACACAGAACGTCAGGTGAGGCTAGGCCCACCATGCAAGTCTGGTGGCACCTGTGCCCTGGACTGGCCCTGGGGACACGTGGGAAGAGGCGTCTGTGTCTCTAGTGCCTGTGGCACTGTGCTGTCCACCCAGAAACCAGACCCTGGGGAGATCCCAAGGCATCTGCTGCTCACCCTGGGAGCCCCAGCTTGAGGGTGGGCTCCTGATGCTGTGTGTCTCTGAGGGCAGCCCTCAGTCTGGAAGCAGCCCCTATCCACTCCAGCTCCTGCTGCCTGGTGGTGCCCTGAAGTGTGAGCAGATCAGACAGTGCCCACGGGGGCCTCTAGGGGCTCCTGGGTTGAGGCCTCAGTAGTTGGGGCCTGAGAGAGATGGAAGTCTGGGTTCTGCAGCCACCGCACTCCAGTCCACTCGTCCCCCTAGGACCATCCTCCTGAGTGTGATCTCCCTGCTCAACGAGCCCAACACCTTCTCACCGGCCAATGTGGATGCCTCTGTGATGTACAGAAAGTGGAAAGAGAGTAAGGGGAAGGACCGGGAGTACACGGACATCATCCGGTGAGCACGGGGCTCTGAACCCCAGAGTAGGGCCACCTGCTTCTGCTAACAAGGCTGACAAGTGCTTCCTGCCTTCTAGCCTGTTGGAGGCCACCTCTGCCCAGGGGCAGCAGTTGCAGATGGGGACACCAACCCCAGTCAGAAGTGCCCAGCCAGTTCAGCCCAATTTCTGGCCTCTTCTTTGTTTTTGAAAACATGGTGGTATTTTTTCCTTCTTTGTGTCCCAGAAAAGTGTGGCGTGTGAACACACATGTACACGTGGTCCACATAGCGTGTGTGTCTCTGTGTGCGCTGTGGCATACAGTGGGAAGGCCCCATCCCCAGCATTCAAGAGTTCCTAGTGTCTCATTGCTTTGTGACTCAGCCCTGATGTGCCTGGTCCTTCCTGCAGCCTCCCAGGGCAGCACTCTCCCTGGGACAGTGGCCTCTGCTGCTGTGGTCCTTGTGGGTGGGTCCGCCAGGCAAGCCTGGTGCTGCGTACTCGCTGAAGGCCAAGCAGGCCTACGGTCTGCTGCTCGCTGGCACTTACAGCCCCGGACAGCTTGCCATGTGGGGCTGTGTCCCAGTGGCTCTCTGCCTGCTCCGATTTCCTCTGAGTCAAGAGGTGACTCTGCAAAAGAAGTAGTTTCTTGGGGAGTTGTGGGGACCTGTCAGGTGAATGGGGCGCGGGGCCTCCTCTCTGTCTGTTTTCTTGCTGTCTGTTGTCACTCTTCAGCACGGTTTCTCAGTCCTTGCTTTGGTGTTCGTGGAACATGGGTCCTCACGTCCTGGCCAGGTGCTCTGCCACCAAGCTGCCCCAGCCCTACTGGCTCATTTTTTGATTGACTTAATCCTTTTCTGTGTCTTTTCCAAATACTTTTTTCTTTTCTCAGAAATATGGAGTGCGGGGCTGGGGCTACAGCTCAGTTGGTAGAGTGCTTTCCTTGTATGCACAAGGCTTTGAGTTCAGTCTCCAGCACTACCAAAAAAAAAAAAATGGAATATGGAATGCCTCCCTTGTGTGTCATCCTTGCACAAGAAGTGTGCTAATTTCCTCTGTCGTTCCATTTTTATTGTACATTGCTGCCAAAGAAAGCACTTGAAACACTTTTCAACTTATTCTTTTTAGTAATTATTTTATCTATCTTTATGCTGTGCTAAGGATTGAACCCGGTGTCTAATATATGCCAGGCAGGAACTCTGCCAGTGAGCCACAGCTCCAGCCCTCAACTCGTTATTTATCTTTGTGTTTTATGGAGCTGGAGATTGAACCAGGGTCCTCACTTTTGCTGGGCAAACACGTAATTTGCTTTTTAATTTAAAATAGTAGCTTGGGGCTGGGGATACAGCCCAGTTGGTAAAGTGCTTGCCTTTCATGCACAAGGCCCTGGGTTCAAGCCCCAGCACCACCAAAAAAATGGCTTGGCACAGTGCCTACGCCTGTAATCCCAGAGGCACATGAGGCCAAGACTCGAGGATTGTAAATTCCAGGTCATCCTGGGCAGCTTAGTGAGGCCCTAAGCAACTCAGGAGATCCTGTCTAAAAAGGCTGGGCGTGCAGCTCAGTAGTGGAGCACCCCTGGCTTCTATTCCCAATGCTGCCAGAACAGAAAACAAGCTGGCGCTGTGCAGGGAGGCACCTTGGTTGGTGTGGTTGTGAGGTGCCACTTTCATGTGATGAGACTCTTTGGAGCCAGGTGTATGTACACCTGTCCCCACTGACCAGGAGTGGTCTGGCTCAGTGAGGCACCATCTCAAACACACTGACCCTTGGTGGGCTGGCACTTGGACCTGCTCCTCTGCAGAGGCCTGCTGCCCCACAGTCCACACAGAGCTGCCTGCCCACCTGACCCCAGCACTGCTGCTGCCCTTAGCCAGGCAAGACGCCACACTCTGCGCTTGTAGCTGGCCCCGGGTGGTCACACACACACAAGGAGACAACAAGGGCTCCTCCTTTCTGTCCCCTTCTTCCCAGTGCTCGGTCTGTCCTCTCCGCTGCCCTGGCACTTCCTGTGAGCAGAATGCCTTGAACTTGAAATGCTGCACCCATGGTGTTTCGCATGGGTGCCACGTGCTGCCACGTGCTCCTTATGAACTGGACAGTTGTTGCTGTGGTAGCCACCAACCTCTCCTGGCAGTCTGAGAGGCACCCCTGCAACACCTGCCCTCAGAGGTGCCCGTACTCTTGGCACCTCTTCCCTGCCACCTCCCACACAGTCCCAGAGCAGAGATGAGAGCCAGTCTGTTTTCATCCCTCAGAACCCCGTGGGTCACTCATGCCCACCTGGGACTGTAGTCGCTGCTCTGTGCCTACTGCTGGCTCTAACTACGTCTTTAGGCCTCAGAAGAGCTTGTGTCCTGCTGGGTTCTGCAGGACAGGCAGGAGAGCCCTGGCTGGTGCCGGGAAGGCCCAGAGCAGCTGGCACAGTGCCCTCCCACCCTCCTGCAATGCCCACGGGAGAGGCCTGAGCCAGGTGCGATGTCTGTCCCAACATGCAGACACAGGTGGCCAAGACCGGGCTCAGTTCCTCCCCCATGGTCCCTGTTCCTGTGCGTCTGCGTCTTCTCGGCGAGCTGTAGGCCAGAGGCTGGGGTCAGCATCTGCTGTGCCACACCGTTCCCTGTGTGAACCTGCACCCCGAGCAGCCCTGGCACTTCCTGATGGCCAGGGTGTCCAGTCCCACTATTGGCACTGCAGCCATGCTCCTGCCTGGCACCACGTCCTGGGGTCGGGTGGGTTGGGTGGTGTGTAGTGCAGGGCGTGCAGAACCCGGGGTGTGGCCTGGCGTGAGCACAGCACAGAGCTGAGGCTGGCCACCGAGTCTCCCTGTGGCTGTGGCCCTGAAGCCAGCTTCTGTGGGCAGAGGCTGCGTGCTGTGCCCGGTGTCCCTGGCATTGCTCCCGCTGGCTTCCTATTCTGCAGTGTAGCCCTGATGTGCCATGGGGGGTGGGCCAGGATCAGAGCAGCCCCTCATCCATCCTGTCCCCCCAGGAAGCAGGTCCTGGGGACCAAGGTGGACGCAGAGCGCGATGGCGTGAAGGTGCCCACCACGCTGGCCGAGTACTGTGTGAAGACCAAGGCGCCGGCGCCCGAGGAGGGCGCGGACCTGTTCTACGAGGACTACTACGAGGACGGGGAGGTGGAGGAGGCAGACAGCTGCTTCGGGGACGACGAGGACGACTCGGGCACCGAGGAGTCCTGACACCTCGTCCACCGAATAAACTCTCAGATTTTACCTCATGGGACGGACGCTGGCTCTCTCGACAGGCTACCTCACGGCACTGCCTTGCCCTGCTCTGGGCGTCGCGTTTGGGTGTCCTTCCTTCCCCGTGCGGTTCTGGGTTTTCCTCCTTCAGAGAAGAGCAGCGGGCTTCGGCTTGCCGGCCCCCTCCTGGGATGGCAGAGCCAGCAGAGCCGCAGCAGCCAGGGTCCTGGGCGGGCCCCATCCAGCAGCTTCGAGGCTGGGGTCCTAGCTCCTGAATGGACGGACTGCTTTGAGGTCACCTCCTTTCTGCTGTGGTTTGTTTGAAATCTAAATAAAACTGCCTGTGAGAAGGCAGACCACTCCTCCTTCAGGGAGGCACCAGGGCCAAGGTCATCACACTGCTGGTCCCTTGTGCCTCCACAGTGGGCCAAGGTGGGGTTGGGCAGAGCCATGTCCCTGGGCTTGATGGTCACCTCTGCAGCCCAGGAAATGGGGTAGCCAGGGAACCCCCTAGTTGCATTTAAGGGAAAGGGCCCCATCCACAGAAGCCAGTTTCCTCTGCACTTATGAAATGGCCCTTCCTGGATGCTCAGGGCCCGGGGTGGACTCTGGTGCTTCCCAAGGGTGCCTCACACTGGTGGCAAGTGGGACACTGCTGGTCTTGTGTCTGTGCAACTGAAAGATCCAGAATGGCTGGACTCAGGAGTTGGACTCGCTGACCTTGGAATTGCTTGGATGCCCAAGGTCAAGGGTATATGCCTGGACCAAACTGGGCTACACTGGCTCTTTCCCAGGAGGGCCCAAGCCAAGTGGGCACAGTGCGGTAGGCCCTGGACCACACTGCTGGTGGGTGCAGCTTTGCCACTTGAGCCCTCAGCTCTTTTGTTTGCTTGGGTTTTATTTTGGACAGTACTGGGGGTGGCCCAGGGCCTCGTGCTTCATAGCATGCTCTCGGTCCTGGGTTCAGTCCCTAATACTGCACAAAATGGGGCAGGGTGTCTCACTAAGTGGCCCAAGCCGTCTCAAACTTAGTCCTTCTGCCTCAGCCTCTTGAGTTGCTAGGGTGATGGAGGTGGCCACTGTGCCTATGAATTTCCTGTTCAAAACTTTCTTTTTTTTTTTTTTTGGTACTGGGCATTGAATCGGGGCACTTTACCATAAAGCTGTGTCCCCAGCACTTTTTAATCATGTGAAGCTGGGTCTCACCCCGTTGCCCAGGCTGGTCTAGAACATAGTCCTCAAGCCTTCTGAGTGGCTGAGTGACAGGCAGGTACAGGCCCTGCCGCATCTGACCCTGTGGTGTGCTGCAGCCAGGCACAGCCCCTGCCTGCTGCCTCCCCTGCCTGCTGCCTCCCCTGCCTGCTGCCCCTACCACTGGGAGCCAGTCACAAGGGAGGGGCTGGAGGGGTTGGGGGTGGGTGTTAACAAGAGGACAGTTTGGGTTTGGGCAGAAGCCTTGGAGGTGGGTGGTGGGCACACTGCAGAGCTTTCCCCTACAAAACGGCTAAGATGGTGAACTGTGTTTGTTACCACAAGAGAAAGGAGAGGCCTGGGGTGCGGCTCAGGCAGAGTGCTCCTTGGTGCAGCTGCACCAGGCCCTGGGCTCCATCCCCAGCACTAAGGAGGAGTCGCACTGAAGCCTGACGGCACATTCGAGGTGGGGATTGGAGCACTGGATTAAACCATAAGGAAGTTTGGTAGTCTCACCGTTTTGTCTTTGAGTTCCTGTCCTTTAGAAACCCCTTCTAAAATGTTCTGGGTGAGGTGAGGCTGGAGGTAGAGAGATGTCTGCTGTGTGCAAGGGCAGGGCAGGGCTGTGGCAGGTGAGATGGGAGACAGGCCTGGTGCTGGCACTCCAAAGGGGGTAGTGGGTAGAGGGGGTGCCGAAGATTGGAAAGAGCTTGGGTTTCCAGATGGGAAGCCCAGGCATCAAAGGTCCCAGGGCAGTAGGCAACTTGGCCAGACCCATAGCAACATGGTGAGGCCCTGTCTCAGAATGGGCTGGGGCGCTCACCTCGCATGCTCGAGGCCCTGGGTTGCTCTAGAAGGGATGCCGCAGCAGGTCCTGATTTGGAACGGCCCGTCCGGAGACGTCAAAGCAGGCCGTGCTGGAGAGTGCCTTCTCCAACTTCCTTGAGGGGCTCCCGAGGACCTGAGTAGGAGTCTCATGTTGGGGGGCTGCAGAGCTCTGGATGATGAAAGGCCTGGCCCCCTGGGTGGGGATTCTGCACCCAGCAGAGCCACTGTGGAGAGGCATCCTCCCTTCCTGACCTGCTGCAGGGCCGCCTGGAGCTCAGGCCTGCTCTCAGTGTCCACAGCCCGCCCCGAGGCGTGCTGCCCTCCAGGGCTGTGCAGGAACCTGGGTCTCTGCAGCATCGGCGGCTCCGGCGGCTCCTGCTGCTGTGCTTCAGTGTTTGCTCCAGGACACCGCGGTCTTGGCACCAGCCAACATGGCTGCATGATGCTATGAACTCAGCCCCTGCTCAGGGCTTGCTGCTGCAAGAAGTCGAGGGCCTCTCACCTCCCCTGGGATCTGGGTGATACACCATCCTTCCAGTCTCCCCACGCCCAGGCTGTGTTGGGCAGGAAGGCACCGAGGCCCCGTGTTCTTGCCATGCATGTGGCAGGGGTTGGTGCTTCTGCTTGGCCACTTGGTGACAGGATGCCCACTGGCTTTCTCCATGGTGAGAACCACAGCATCTTCATTGTCTGAAGGGGGCTGGGCCCCAAGAGCTGCCAACCACCTGTCCTGGGAGACCAGGCTGTCTCTGCACCCTCCCCACAGGCCTGGGAGGCAGGCTCGGAATGAAGCAACCCTGCAGGAAGGGCAGAGCTGCTTCCACACCACAGGCTGGGCCAACACCTGGTGCTGCCAGGGCTGAGCGGAGCAGGGTGGCTGGAGGAGAGTGGCTCTTAAATGAGCTGGAGACCTACTGGATGGGTGCACACAGGGATCCTTTCATCTAGCACCCACCATCCTTCTATAAGTCATCTGTCCACCCACCCATCACCCGTCCACCGTCCGTCCACCCGTCCACCCACCCACCACCCACCCTTTGCTGCGTGCTCCTTGAGTGCGTACTTCTCTAGGCCTGATGGAAACAGGATGGACCGGGGCCGACCCTCATGTTGACTCTAGGACAAGGGGCTACTGTTCGCACTCCTGTGTGACACAGTGTCTGCACCAGTCCTGGGAAGGAAGAGAGCCAAGTAGGGGTGGAGCGTGACACCTGGTGTTGGGGAACTCCACGAGAAGGTTCAGGAGACCCCAGGTAAGGAGGCCAGACCTCGGGCATCCAGGGGAGCCCTCCAGCAGGGCCGAGTCCCTTGTGGGAGAAGGAGCAGCAGGACCTCAGTGGGCCCGAAGAAGGGGCCACATGGGCCTGAGGGGTCATGAGGAGGTTGGATATTTAGAGCAGTACTGGGGATTGGATCCAGGGGTGCTCTAGAACGGAGCTACACCCCAGCCCTTTTTATCTTCTATTTTCAGATAGAGTCTTGCTCAGCTGTTGAGGCCAGCCTCGGCTTCCCGGGTCATTGGGATTACAGGCGTGCTCCACTACACATGGCCACTGATGGGGTCTGGGCAGTGGAGCCTGTGATGGGGAATGGGGGACCGGGCGACCCCTGTGTGTTCTGCTGCAGTTTCAAGGGACACTGGGAATTTCATTAGAATGGTAAATTTGGGGTCTGAGGCCTCCAAGCTTTGGGTGGGGCAGGGTACATCTAGCCTTAACCTGACCATATCTGTTCCCCTTGCCCGTAGGCAACACATTTGACACCAAAATTACTGGGAATTGAGAGGCCACCACCCCCAGTCATGCCTACACATGGCTTCACTGCAGAAAGCTGGCACCCACCTGTGTTGGGGGGGTCCTTGTGTACCCCACCTCTCTGCCACCCTAGACATCCCAGAGTCCCAATATCCAGTTGCAGGGCATCCTGAGACACAAGCAAACCAGGGTGCCCCTTCCCCTCCCTAGAGACAGCTTGGGCTGCAGGTTCCTGGGGTGTTTCAGCTGGAACAAGAAGCACAGGAAGGTCTGGGCCTTCCAACTGGATTGAATTGGGCCACCTGTCAAGTTTAGGAATGTGTTTGACACCTGTGGCCACCAGGATAGAGCTGACCTACCTGCCTAGTGGCAAAACACAAGAAACTGGTCCCTGTTGCCATTGAGAAGCCACTAAATAAACCCCTCCTGGTGCTGCCCTGCCTCTGGAGTAGCCAGTAATAAAAATCCCCAAACTCAAGTGCAAAAGAGGATCTGTTGGCTCATGTAACTGACAAGTCAATGAGGAGGTCTAACTTCAGGTGTGGCTTGATCCAGGTGCAACTTGATCCAGTTGCTCATGGGAGCCCCTGGTCTCAGTGCTGCCCTTTCCCACTGGCCACATTCTTTCATGTAGCACCAAGGATGCACCTGCAAGTCCTGCAGAAAAAAGCTTGTTTCTCTAATTTAGGCAGATTTATGAGGATTGGCACACATTCACCTTGGAACAAATAACTGTAGAGGTGCAGTCCTGGGCGAGGGAGTTCCCGGGGTGGTCTGGGGCATGGAGGGTGGCACTTCTGGATGCTCAGGAGTGGGGAACGGCTTCCTGGATGCTGTGGAGACAGGTAGGACCCTCGCAGGACCTGCTGGGGACGGACAAGGCGGGCCTGTCATCCACACTCTGGCTCCTGCTGCCTCAGGATGCAGCTACTGAGGCTGTACTGGGGCTGCATGACCTTTGTAGCCCACGCCTCACCTTCCACACCAAGGTGGCCGCCAGCACCCTGCCTGTGTGCCGGCTCCAGCTGGAGAATGCCCTCGTGCTGCTGAAGTGCTGGGGTGGCAGGCCTGACACAGCTCGTCTGCCTGTGGCCCCACTCACCTGCTCCTCTTCCCCACTGCTGGACAGGGAGGTGCGGCCCAGCAGTGTTGTCCAGCCCCTGGCCTTGCCAGAGAGCACCAGGCGGTGAGAGCAGGAGTGCTGTGCAGTGTGACCAGCTGGAGGCTGACCACCAGGGTGGGCACCTGGCCCAGACACACACTGCAGGAGCTGGAGCCCTGTTTGCTGTGTGCCTGGATGTGCAACAGGAGCCTCTCTGGCATGGCAGCTTCACCCCTGCCCCGCGTCCTCTGCTCAGTGGCCGGCTCTCTGAACCAAGCCTACTGCAAGGTGACCATGTAGCGGGCAGGGGCAGCTCAGCCTGACAGAAGGCCCACAGGCTCCTGACTGCACCCACCTCGGCCTGTGGCCAGGGAAGCAGCTGGGCCAGCCCCTAGCCTGTTCTCTGGGGATCCTGGAAGTGGGACTAGCATTGACCCCATTTCTCAGATGCAGAAACTGAGGCCCAGAGGGGTTAAACGAGCTGGCCGGGGTCACATATTAGGGAGCAGCAAAGGGGACCAGGGCACAGGCCAGGGCATGTGCAAGACCATGGGGCAGGAAAGAAGGGGAGAAGAATGCTCCTGGCTTGGGAGTGGCCCCTTGGTGCCTCTCAAGCCCCACTGGACCTTGCTCCCCGACAGAGGTGCAGATGCTAACATGGGCTCTGTCACCTCCAGCAGGGTGACTGGTGGGTCTCTGGTGTGAGGTCAAGGCTGGGTGGATTGAATCCTGTCCTTTAGCTCTAAGACCTGAACCAACATCTTCAAGCCTCATGTGGCTACTGCCATGGCCCCCTATGTGTCCTGGATCAGGAGGGTCATCAGCCACTGGCCATCCTGGCCTCTGATGTGGCACTCCAGTTGACCAGATCTCTCGGTGGCAGACCCTCCCCTTAGGGTTCAGGGAGGGACGTAGCAGTTGGAGACTGGGCACATCTGCAGGACCAGGACTGATTCACAGTGATTCTTCATTCCAACTGAACTGGGTATGCAAGGTGCAGGGGCCACACTGTCATCGCAGGAGGATGGGAGTTCAAGGTCAGCCTGGGCCACTTAACAAGGCCGGGTCTCAAAAGATAAAAGAGGGGGTGGGGATACAACTCACATTCACAAGGCCCTGGGTTCAATTCCCAGCTCCACAAAAATAAATAAATACATAAATCAAGGGCAGGGGTGCAGCTCAGCAGTAGAGCACCTCCCTGCGCGTGTGAGCCCTGGGTGCACTCCAGCACCAGGAAAGTGGGTAGGGAGACAAAGGCCCACCCCACCGCAGCTGCAACCTGGGAAGGGAGGGGTACCTCCCAAGCCTCTCCCAGGAGGGCGTGAGGGTGGGGGCACCTGAGCCAGCAGGGGGCAGTGCTGACCGGCCAGCACGCTGTGTGCACTGCGGGTAGGGAGTCTGGGCAGGTGTTCCCCGGAGTCTTGCACTTGCACTTGACTCACGCCGTGATTGTGTACAAGTCACAGGCCCTGCTGCCCAGCCATGCAGCCTGCACACCCTCTCGGGGTGCAGCTGCAGCTCATCTGGTCAGAACACTCTTCACCCCAGAAGGAAGCCCGGTCCCAGGAGCGGCCCCCCCATCCCTCCAGCCACGTCCATCTCTGGACTCCCCTGTCCCAGACATCTCCTGTCACTGGCTCACACACTGTGGCCTTGTGCGTCTGCTTCTCACTGAGCACAGTCCTCAGTCCATCCACGCTGCAGCAATGTTGGAGCCTCACTCCACTCCAGGAGAGAAACACGCTTTCTCCTCCTCTTCCTGGCTCTTTGGGCTATGAATCAAATTTCCGTAAAGTGCGTTAACAGGAGAAAAGCCATTCCATGTGCACATGCCTAAGTCCCACCGAAACACAAGGGTCCACGAAGGCACAGACCCAGCTTTGTGCCACCCTGAGCTACAGGAAAGATTGGGGCATTTGAGGGTGGGGGGCATGCAGGCCTCAGGGGTCATGTGCGCATGTGTGGGAGGCTGAGGCCCAGGGTCCCCTGGGCCAGGAGTTCAGGGCCGTCTCCAGCAGCTTCCTCTGAGCACCTGGCGCTGCTGTTCCTCGGAGGCACGTGTGCCTTTCACAGAAGCAGCTCTTCAGAGCTGCTCCTCCGTTTGAGGTCTCGGCAGAACCACCGGAAACATGCCAAAGTGTCGAGGGTCGAAACTACAGTGCTTCATGCTCTACGGGTTTTGTCTCGTTTTGGTGCTAGGGCTGGAACCCAGGGCCTCTGACCGGCTAGGCAGGTAGTTAACCCTGAGCCACACCTAACCCCAGTTTTGGTCTGGCTAACTTGCTGAGGCTGGCCTCCAACTTGGCTTCTCCTGTTTTGGCTTCCCAAGTTGCTGGGATGACAGGTGTGGCCCCTGCGCCTAGCCTGATGGCCTTATCTTTGGGTTGGGCACTTCACCCCAGAGGTCCAGGCATGGGCAGGACTTACTCTCTCCCAGGCTCCAGGCCTCTCTGGCTTGTGGCCACATCAGGAGCCATAAAGCAGGCTCTGAAGGCCAAGCGCAGGAAGCTGATCTTGTTTGCAGCGGTTGGTGCTGGGGCTGGAACCCAGGTCCTCACCCAGGTCCTGAAGCTGGCTTCATGGAAAAAGGCTCAAAAAAGCAGAAACAAAAAGACGTAGGCCGCCCAGTGGGACAGGCAGGGCTGGCCTGGGGGAGCAGGGGGCTAGCTGGCGCCAGCTGATCTCAGGCCTGCTTCTGTGAAAGAAGGAGAGGGACTTTGGTGCCGTGCTGGCAGGACTTGGCTGGTCAGGAATCCAGCTGCAGTGGACGTTCAGCTGTGTCCCCGGGACCTCCCCTGGGCCCCTCCCTAGAGTCAGCAGGTCTGTCTGTGCCTTTGGCTTCACAGATTCCTGTCTCCTGCAGTCACATCTGGAGCAGCCTGTCCTGAGCCTACTTCTGGGAGTGACCCAGGCTTCTGGGACTCAGGTGCTTCCCCTGGACTGCACGCCGGCCAGCCCTCCCTGTGCTTCTCTCCCCTGCACCTGCACCCCCCCCCCGCCCCCCTGCCCCGGGGAGCCAGGCTCGGGTGGCCCTGGCCTGCTCAGGATATGCTCAGGCAGGGCCCTCGAGAGCCTGGGAGGTGGAGGCGGGAGACCAGCAGCAGGAAAGGCTTCCTCACAGCCTCCTGTCCCCCAGTCTGGGACAGCGCCAGCTGGACTCAGATCAGTGGGGCCAGGCCTGCGCCTGCCACAGCCCAAGAGGCTGCTTATCTCTGGCCTCCTCCCCTGAGCTCAAGGCCTGGAGCTTAGAGAGAGGTGAGCCACTGTGCAGCTGCTCCCCGGGCTGTTGCCCTGGGGACAGGAAGGTGCTGGCCCCACCCCACCTGGGACCCAGACCCTCCCAGTTGTTTCCCAGGGCACACAGAGGACACCCAGCCTCCACCTGGACCGGAGGACCTCACCTGGGAGGAGATGCAATGGGTGTCCCAAAGCTGCCGTCTCAAGTAGCCTCATGCTGCTGACTCCAGACCACAGACTCGGGCCCTTATTACAGGCAGCCTGGCCCAGGGGCCTGCCTGGGCCCGGCTGGCTGGAGAGGTGACCGGCAGGCAGTGTGTCAGACACAGCTGGCCCCTGCAGAGCCAGCCGCCTCTGCTCCCCTCTGCGAGGTGCACCGAGGTGGGGTCCCGGCCTTCAGCTTCCTTTGCCAGCCCCAGTGTCGGACGGGGCCTCAGGTTCTGGGTTTCCCTGTCGGTCCTAGAGGCCCCTCGAGGAGGTGCGGCTGGGGCTGGGCTGGCGCCCCCAGAGGCTCACCTCCCTCCCGGCTCCTGGCCCTCCAGGGCTCCCAATGGCTGCCCTGCTCCAGCCTCTGCCTGGGTCCTCCTGTGCCTTCTCCTTGGTGTGTGTGTCTCCTCTCGAGCTGTCATTACATTTGGGGCCACCTCAATCTGGGAGGATCTCACCCTTCACTTAACTACATCTGCAAAACAGACTCATGGGCTCAGGCTCTAGGAACAGGTGTCTGGGGGCCCCATGCAGCCCACCAGGTCCTTCTCTCTTCTGCTTGATTCTCCCTGCTTTGACTCCTGCCTCTCGCAGGCCCCTGACAACTGAGCCGTCTAGTCACAACATACATCAGGCAAGGATCCTGCCCTGCTCCAAGACCTGCCAGGGCTCCCCAGTGCCCTCAGAATAAAATCCATACTCCTCCCCACAATCACTGAAAATCCTCTAGAACTTCTGGAAATTCAAAGCCCCCCACTCTATTGCAAATGCACACAGAAGAGTCAGTCCAGAGGCCACGGCTGCAGAGGAACCACCTGAGGAGAAACCAAAGACGCTGCCCATGCATGTCCTCATGGCTGTGGCCTGCACCCTCCCTTGGCGGGCCAGGCTGGTCTCATTTTCTGCCTCCAAGATTGGCACTGCTGAGAAGTCTCTGTCATTGAGCCCACACCTCTGTTGACCTTGAAGAAACTGGGCGCATCTGAAGTATTGGTGTCGGGGTATTGTATTGCTCGGGGTTCTCAAGTGAAGACTGCTTAAGCAGAAGACATGGTAGACCTTTCCTCAGGCTTCCAGGGTGTGTCTCTCCAGTTGGAAACAGGCACTGCTGGTGGAGATGTGCTCGGGATGACGAGCTCACTGAAGGAGACACTGTAGAGAGGGCAGGAGCCATTCTGGGTGTTCTAGCTGGTGAGGAGCCCCTGGGTCCTGTTGGAGGTGCCGTTGGGAAGCCCACAGATGGAAAGGGCCCAGGTGGTTCCAGACCTGTAGGCAAGGGGCCGAAAACACCCGGAATCATCCCTCAGATCTCTGCAGGGGAACCAGGCAGACTGGCCTAGCTTGGCCCTAGCTGGCCATGGTCAACGTGAGCTGATGACTGGTGATGGGCAGACCGGGAGAGCACTGTGTGCCACTGCCGGTCATCAGCCAGAAAGGTCTCAACGATGGCTCTGATAGGAAGAAGCAGCGGTATCGTACCCAGGCTGCAAACCACCATTGCCCGCTGGTGAGGAGGCTCAGAAGCAGACACTGTGAAGGTGCATCACGGAGGTGTTCACTGCTGCTCCTGAGCTGCCCCTCTTCAGTACACGGCCCTCCCTCTGGCTGTTCTGTGAGAGCATGTCCCAGAGATGAGGCCAGGCAGGCTCTGCCCATCTCTGAGACTTACCCAACAGGCTGCGGTACTCGTCAGAAGTCTCTGTTGCTCCGTGGATGCCGGGTCTGGCCGGAGGCCAGTCCTGGTGATGATGGGTCTTTTGGTGGCAGCTTCTTGACTGCTTCACCAGTCACAGAAACAGGCTGGTGATGTGTCTGCTTATATTCCTACCCACGTCGTTTCCGTCACGGAGGGACAGATCTTCTCGGACACGGAGCTGTTCTGTGAAGGTGTCTGCCTGCTGGGACCCGGGTTGGGTCTGCTCCGCCTGTCAGGGCTGTGAAGCACGTGGCAGGTACCATGCGCTGGAGTCGGCTCCATAGTGTGAGGTGGCTGCTTTTGCCCAGTTGGCTCTGATCTTGGTGCTGACACTCACTGACTCTTGAGTGTGGTGTGGGTCTGACCGAGAGGCTGAAGCAGGCACAGTGTTGTCCTGTGTCTACTGAAGAAGAAGCGGCCGCAGTCGGCGCGGGTGTGAGGGCCTACCTTGATAAACTGGAGCCCAGTGAGATGACAGTCAGAGAATGCTTTCATGTCTCATGGGATCAGTCCACGCCAAGCCCTCTTGGGCAATATCAGGGCTGATGGAAAGATCTCAGAAGGGTCAGATGCAAAGCTAAAAACTTCTTGGCCGGATTCCTCGCGTAAAGTATGGATTCACATCAAATACTGGTTTGGGGGCTGGGATTGTGGCTCATTGGTAGAGCACTTGTTTGATCCTCAGCACCACCACATTAAAAAAATAAATAAAAATTGGGCTGGG